CTCTCTCTCTCTCTCTCTCTCTCTCTCTCTCTCTCTCTCTCTCTCTCGACGATAAAGATGTCCGTGCATGTTCAAATAGTCGCCTTCGTTGTTTTTCTGCACAGAAGCAACTCTTTGCTGCATCAGTCAAAAGTGAAACCCGTGATTAATTTAATAATTTATCAAATTTATTAATCTGTAGCCGAACTCATGCTCAGCATCAACAACTTCACTTCAAATTCTAAATTCCTTAGCCGGATCGTTCGCTTTCGAATCGTTCTCAACCTCAAAACAAGTACAAAAGCTATAATAGGACACGACGGCCTATTAAATTCGTGCCCTACATCCCTTCGCTTAATATAGTTGGTCATACACGACTTTTCAAAATAAGGTTTTATATGGGAAATGATAGAAAAAGTAGTCCGATCCAAACCATTTTCAAAACATGTCGGTGTAACAAATTTCATCAAAATATCTCGAACATCGCGAACACAAAAAGAAAATAAGGCGGTTGGGTGCGCAGGCAAAAAGTGACTCTGACTGACTCACATAATAATAAAAGTTTGAAAGTGAGTTTATGTCTAACTTTTCTAGGTGTTACATTCAACCGTACAAACTTATCCTTGCATCACAAGTGGCATAGGGTATAACTACTCAATGTGTATGATAATTACTGTATAACACTTTCGTCTGGAAATTATTTTGAATCAACTTAACAAACATTTTCCGAAAATATTTATGTATTAAAGAAGTTAGAACTCAAGAAAGGCAACGGGATTGCAACTTCTCAGTAACTTTCTATTTCTCAGAGCGCTTGTGGAAAAGAAGTTCGAGGAAAAGAATTCATTATATGAAAAGGTTTCACAAAAATCAGATCAGCAGATTCACAACATCTGCTACGCCGAAAACACAAGGAAATGATATTCGGTCGTGACCGAATCTTTTGTACGCATCCCCGTGAAAAAGAACTAAATTCATCTTCAATAAAATTGGGCGGGAGCGACTGATTTCTTCTATTTTCAGAATAAAACGTTAAATATATATGACGTATGTATTGTACTTTATTAGCAATAAGCAAGAAAAAATCACAGTTTTTGTTATATAGGCGTGTTGTAGGCGTATTCTTAGAAAAGTTTGGTTCCTTTTCAAATTCTCTTGCAAGTCTGCAGTCGTTATCTTCAAGTGTTCCTTCTTCTCGCACCGTGCGTTTTGTTACCATAATACAATCAAGGACTAATTTCGTACGAAGGACAACTTTTCAGTGTTTGAACGTTTTACTAAAGATATATAGAGTTTACACTTTATGTGTAGGGTCTCCGAAGGTTTCTTTCCGGGTGTTGCAAGCATTTGGAAAAATGAATATATCCGCTGTGACGGATATAAAAAATAATAATATATATATAAGTACTGAAATTTATTACATCGCTCTTTAGGTGTAGGTCTATACAAACTAGGAGCAGTATTTCAAAAGCGTAATCTTAATCACTGTTATTTCTCTTTCGATTAAAATGAAAATTCGATCGAAAAGACGTTCGATTCTTCCCATTTCTTCCAAATTAATAAATTATAATTATAATTTAATTGATATATTATTAAGAAATTAAATTAAATTAAATTAAATTGCGTCAAGTTGCCAACATAAATAAGTTATTACTTTGTACCTTATAAATAAGTTATTACTTCTTATCACACCTTCCGATGGAATGCTTGTAATGAATGCAATAACGTTTTAAAAGCTTTTTCTTGTTTAATATGAAATGAGATAAAATGAAGAGAGAATTTTTATTCTCCTCAGATAAAATTTTCTAATAGCCATCAGTTAATTGGTTTTGTTGTTTTTGATGAATAGATTTGCGAACTGCAGGGAATGCAGACGTAATTAGAATTGTTAACGTAACTGGCTCCACGCAAGTATGCCGCCATCATAAACCAAAATAACTCATATTTGTGTAACGTTATAGCGCACGCGACATGTTTGCTGTATGTTTTTTTTTTTTTTTTTTTTTGCAGATTATATCTTGACATTTATCTTACGTTCTTTTCGTGCTTGAACTTGTGAATAATGTAGCGAAAGTTGACTGTTCTTATCTCAAAGTAAAAAAGAAACAAGTAAGAAAACTATATTGTAACAAGGCCCAGGAAACCAATTTTCAAAATAAGATGTTATATGCGAGGAGTTCGAGAAAAGATCCGATCCAGACTATTTTCAGTAGCACTTGTTCTTGGGCCAGAACATGTCGGTGTACGAACTTTCGTCCAAAAATTGCGAGCTATAGGTTGAACACAAGAAAACAAGACTCACAAGCGGACCGAAGCACAGACAAACTATCTATCTCAAGTCATTCTGGGTGTTTCATACTTTCGCGCAAATTTAGTATACCCTTGCACTACAAGTGGTCTAACCATGCACACTAATAACGTACATAATGTATAAAGTAAAACAGATAAGATACATGAAAGGTACGTACATTTGATTCATTCAGCAAGTACAGTCTACCATTTAATCAGCGAAAATTCTACGGTAATTATGTATGTGCAGGTAATTATGTACGAACAGTTTTACTATTTCAAAGAAAAGGCTAGAGTTTACACTTAAGCTCCGATACGTTTCTTTGCCAGTAAGAGATAAAAAGATCGGAAGTTAAAAGGTTACGGTTAGGTAATCACCTTCTGGCTAATCCTTACGAACCCTTGCTTTAGATGAATATAGGTAGTGCGTCTTATATGGCTGCTGCAAGAGACCAGAGCATAGCCGAAGGAAAAATGGAGTTTGTCCATATAAAGTTCGATGTACCACCACGACGACCACTCGTCCTTCTGCGCCAACAGGTATAGCAGAGTTCGCATAAGGATTCCACGCAATGTCATCAAGAATGAGTTATTACAGTGTGAAGGAAGAGATGTTTAAGTTGTGTAACTTCCCTCTTATCTTGGCCGAGTCTGTAAACCAGTTTAGCCGATGTTCGAGCTTAACGAATCTAACCGACGAAAGGCAAGTAGTTGGAACGTAAATTCGCGTTAAAAGCGATCTATTCTGCCTAACGCTGTCCGTTTAACCCACCCTGCCTTGTACTCCAGTAAGGAATACTTAATTTAAGTTTAAGGATTCTCCCATATATGTTTTGCTGGGAAATTTAATGTCTTTCCTGCGTGTGATACAAAATGGTCTATGATATCATTTCATTAAAAGTGAAGAGACCTAAATAAACTTTGGTGCATGAAAACATTTCAAAGGTATGCGAATTTCTCTTACTCGAAGTAAGTGAAATTAATTTAAACAATTCAAATCTTCACAAGAACATAGTTTAAAGGAGAGAATAGCTTCTCTCTTACTTAAGCCAATAAAGAGACTAAGGGACTCTTTTATCTTATTTTATTTAGTACATTGTAAGCTTAGAATTTTAAAGCAAACAAAAACACATGCGCTTGTTATGGAGACCGCACAAACCATATGCTAAAGTTTGTGTATTTTCCGCTTTATCTTGACTTTCTTGACCAAGTAAGATAATTGCATATGCGGAAATAAATGCGAACGTGAATATTCACGGTCGCGGTCGCGGTCGGCGTCGAGCGACTATCGTTAAATTTGAACAAGTTCTATGTGCTATGCACATATGTATCTTTAAATAGTAATTTGCCGAGAAATACTGAACGCAAATGCCAATTTTGATGGAAATCTGAATCTGGATATTATATTGAGAGTCTCCTCGCGTAAACGATATGCAAAATGTTGTGAGTCATAGCGAACTTGTTAATCGCAACCGTAACAAAATCATCGTATTTTCTAACTAGAGGGTATAATAGTTGAATGCATCGTTACTTAAATGTGTGCCCCTTGCCTTGGAGATCCTCATGTAAAAATTCTCTATTTAAAACACGATAGAAACCTTGACTCATGATCTCAAATTGAAAGCGGAATTCATTTGACGCAATACTTTCTGGTAATGGAATGTTAGTAAGTTGATCGTGAACCTTTTTAATCAAGCTGACTTTTACATATATTATGAGCCCTTAACAGTTTAACAACTAAAGAAGTTTTTCTACGTAATATTTGTCCACGATCTTACACACTTTCATCCATTTTATTTGCGTAGCGTGAGATAGTAAAAATTTTTGATTATTTTTCTAGCATTTATTACACTCGTCGAGTCTGCCTTTTGTTTTCATTGGGTACTGAATGTGAAACAGCGAAATGATATAAAAATTGCCATAAAAATAAATCATACTTTAAGTGAATTTGCCAGCAGCTACTTGAAACTTCGTTTTATGCTATTATTGAGCCACCACCAGTTACATTAAAGCAAATGTGAAAATAATTTTCTAAAATCATACAAAAAAAAAAAAATAATAATAATAATAATAATAAAAATAAAATGCTCAGATGCATTGCAAATAAAGGGGGGAGGGGGAAGGGGAAGTATTACGCTTTTCCAAAAAGCCAATTATTTTGTAAGAATGTTTCCCCAAGAGTTCTCTTCTTCTTGTTGCAATATATACTCAAAAGATTAATTAACATAAACAAGAGAGAAGTTCACTTAATTTTTGTGAATTCAAAACTAGAGTTTTGCTGCTTTTGCTTAACAAAAAATAAGTGAATAAAAAGTACAGCGCAGTTTAATCTCGGAATAAAAGGTCTGTGTAGTGTGTTTAAGGAATAAATTCAAAATGTATGAAAATAATTTAAATTAAATCTTAATGTTTCTGAAATTAATTTATTTATCTCTTTTTTCCTTTATATGTTTCTTTACTATGACTGCAAAAGAAACGAAGCGACGTTACGAAGAAATATTCAATTTAATAAATCTTTACCGTAGATCGGTATGTAAGCGAAATTGCTGGCCGTTGAAAAATTGTAGGCATTCACGTCAAATTCATTCAAATAAAAAGCACCGAGGTAGGCAGTGTCTTTCGCATCCGTCGATTTTCGATATAAAACTCCTGCATCTTTTATATGCACTGGACCATCAAACGCCACTACATAGTAACGCACGCGCCAACCGTTACTATTAGCTGACGCCAGGTCATCGCAGGATAAAGATATCGGTATTTCTGGACATGCAACAGAATCTTTCAATAATTCTTCATTTTCTTTGGCCTTAAACGGCGATACATAGCACCTGCCCTTGTACAAGCTGAACGTATCATAATAGTCACCGAGGAATAGATAACAATCATGTGCATTGTTGTCTGTGCAGAAACGTAAAATGCAATCGAATTCACCATCGCGCTCCTGCAATTTGTATGCATACGCACACACTAAGCCATTGTATTGTAATTTAAAATCGGTAGCAAACAAACGAAAAGTTCTGTCATGCTGTTCTATACGTAAACATGAGCCGCCATTGAAAGCATCCTCATAGCAACGGGTGGCCAATTCATGTAACGGCACTGATGGCTGCAACGATTGACGTGACAAATTAAAGAAAGGAGTTTCATTTAAAATCTCAATTTTTCCCCGCACGTACACTTGTCTACCCGAACCTAAACAGAAATCCGTATAGAAGGGTAGATAATGATAGGGATATGTGGCCAAATGCTCCCATAGCGACCACCAGAATTTCTCGTTGCGTTGCAAGAATGCTTCATTGACATCATTACGACCTGTAATGTGTTTAATGTCGTAACCGTATTGCTGTAACGTTTCATAGGTCCAGGCTGGCGCAAATATACCAACTGAGAAACATTGTTTAGCTATGCGTGCCAAGGTTTGTTTACTATGAAATTTAGCAATTTGTCCGCGGCCAAAAATATCAATGCCAAAGAATATAGTTTGGCAGGCAGCCCGCTCCCGTTCACATAATGTACGCGTCACCTCGAGACTTTTATCGGTCCATGAATAGTTGATAAGCATGCCATGCGATGACTTTAAGAAACGCACATTCTTGGCGTTGAGCTCATTCTGCCACAACAATTGTCCTGTTTCTATAATACTATCATACCATAATACAATGCCATGTGAAATTTGATCTTCAATAGCCAAATGCAATCTATCGAGAAAATAACTGTAAAGAGGTACAAAAGTAACACACATAAGAATCTATAAAATGAACAAAAAACATTAATTTTCTTCTTTTACTAACTCTTTCAATAATAATATAAAAACTTATTCAAAGTAAGTAGAAAAATTATATCCGCCTCAGGGTCAAGCCAGGATACCTGAGGCAACAATTCATAATTGCCGCAAAGTTTTCCATGAAATCTGCATGCAGTAGTAGTGCCGGCATTAGGCACATATTTACATTCCATTTCAGACAGTCTTAGGTCACTATTCAAACCATATTTTGCAGAGATGCCTGCAATTTTCAAAGCAAAGCATATCTTTGTGTAAGGCAATGTTACTTACTATCAAATGTTATTTGCGGACGTAAGCAAAGACCTTATATATCATACACTGCCAGTCATATTGCGTCTTGATAAGTGAACGCAGTCGCTTTGTTAAACGGATTCGGAATCGTATGATGAACATATACATAGATATGCACACCTTTATGCAACATATTTGCACTTCTAAAATCCATTCGATCCAAAAAGAAAAAAAAAAACATATATAAAATTGACCTGATTTGTTAATTCAATCACTTAACATATTTATTACTGATTTGAAGTCTGAAACGTTTATCAGAAGAAATTAGCGAAATGCTTTGCAAATTTTCATACTTCAGTTATTTATTTATTTATTTATTCATTTACTTATTAGGCACATGAAACTCAGCTACAATTCAATTCACTCTTGGAAGTAAATCTCATACTAATTATTATTAAAGACTAATACAATACATATAAGGAGAAGTAACGAAAAAAAGAAAAAAAAAACAAGGGAAGAACAAAATTCATGTATAAAGAAGTAAGAAAGAAAAAAGGAAAGGAATCATGTACGCATCTAGAGCAGAGGCACACCCCCAGCCGGGACTTATCCAAGTTGCAAGTGAACCACCAAACCGCATGGCAACCACTTGGCAACCGCGAACAGTAAACAACGCCGTTCCATTTTCCATCCATAGCGAGATGTTAAGATTGCAAGTTAGTTTCAATAGGATAAAGGCAAACCGCGCTTATTAAGCACAGTTGTTTCGATAGACTTTAAAGAGTGCGACATAGAGATTAAGTGACAGACAGAATTGAATTGTACATAATTATACTTACATTGATTCAGCTTAATGAATGGGCGAATCGATAGTACCACCGTTCATTAACTTAATTAAGAAGGAAACACCAAGTATAAATCTACGCTTCTCAAGTGACAGTAACAATAACTGAAGCAACCTATTTTCATAAGCGGGCAGGGAGAGAGAGAGAGAGAGAGAGAGACAAGAGGGTCCCAATCCAACCAG